ATCCAATCATTCAGTTTTATTTCTTATTTCCGAATTATCAAAGATCTAAAATTAAAAAATTAAACTTTGAGGTTATGTAACTATGCCAATATTGAATTTTGATAAAAGTGTCATAGGTACCATTATTTTTTAGTATATTTATCTGTAAATTTGTTGTTCGTAGTTTCTGGACACTCCATTTCAACAGAATATGCAGTTTCATAAGTCGATGAAGTTCAGCAAATATATTTGATTATATTAATGGGAAACCAAAGAAACTGTGACTATATTACTTATCACATAATGTTTGATTTCCATTTTGACTATGATTATAAAAAAAATAAAGCAGGGGAACTTATAATAAAACAGATTTAAGTTTACGCTAAAGAATACACGTGTATGGGTGTACCTTGCAACATTAACATATAAATCAGCCTTACCCAGATTATTAATTGAGTTATATTGGAAGTGAACATCAAGGAGAAAATTAACTACAACGGAGTTTAGGCTTCGTCTCACTACAAATTTCATTAACCGGGGCAAGAAGCATGCTTCTCTAGATGTTCTGTAAATAATTGATTTATTTTGTAATTAGGCCCGATAAGAAAAACCCCATCCGGAGTCCCAGCAGGGTGACTCGGTATGCCTATGGCAGGTCTGAAGAGAAATTTCCAATATAGATATACAGGGTGTTTTATTAAAAATTCGGTACGATGTAAAATATGATGTAAGAGAAAAATATGAACTCGAAGCTTACAGGGTTTTATGTTGTAACAAACGCGTTAGAATTTATTGATTAGTTTTTGGAACGTTCAGGCAACAAATACTGAAAATAAGGGATTTCGAGTAGGTTTAGAGTCGCCTGATAAAATCATATGTCTAGTAAACTTTTGCGTCATCAGAGTAACAAATTCACAAAACTTATCCGTAGCTGGCAATTAGAAGTCCATGGTACAATTTAGAAAACATATTGAATAAGTAGACTTACAAAGATCAAAGTAAAAATATATTGTGTATTCCTTCATAAAAATTATATGACCTTTAGCGGAATATTATATGAAAATGTAAGCAAAACTATTTGAATTTCAACGATATTTCTATTAATTTATCACGTCTGCCTGATAATGGAAAAGTGTCATTGTATTTTTTCCCTTTTTTACGATCGTTACCAATTTTATTTCAACAGTGACAAAGTTACTTTCCCAACAAAGGGCGGCAAAATTCCTTTGACGTGGTTCCACGGAAAACATGCTATTGTATCTGGAATTTTATGCAGCGAAAAGTTTTTCTTATTAAAATATTTAGTGCAAAATCACCTATGTTCAATAATTTTTAATTTTATTAACGGAAAGTTTAAAGTTTAAAGTGACAAATGACCATTTTACTGACGATATTGTTCTAATTTTGACACATATAAATGCTTGTTGGTCGCAGTTATATTTTATTAATATAACTCCACAAATTTATTAAAATCCAATAATTTATTTTCAAGGTACATATTGCTGTCAGCATTAAAATGGTTTATCTATATTTATGACGTTGATTCTGCAATTTTAGACGTCAGTTATTATTATTAATGTGCGTATTTTACGGCCTGCAGATGCATTGCACCAGTTGAGTGCATGTGGAGGAACGCAAGGGAATATTGACTGCGAGGTAATGTTTAATTCATTGCTTCTGTGTCGTTGTTTAATAAATTATTCTCCGTAAAGAGTTGACTCGGGGTAAAATATCGATCCGATTGGTCGTTACTGCTCTTCTTGACAGATAAAAAGAGTGGGAGATGAGAAAATCAAAACGATTAAGCAAACGATTAACAAAAGTTGTAACCAAACTGAAGCAGGAGATAGAAAAAGCAAAGTCTTATTGTATAGAAAAACGTGCGCTGCTAAAAAACGTATTTTTGTAAGTTCCAAGGGGTTTTAAAAAATATTGAGGAATATCTTTCTAAAAACCCCATAAAGTCGTTCAAAACGAAGAGATTTACGCTTACTTCAATGGTAGTCAAGATCTTTGAAAATTACGCCTTTCATCTACTGTCCTTCGACAGTAGACAGTCGACAGCAGAGGCGGATTGGCCATGCGGGAACTCGGGAGGTTTCCCGATAGGCCGCGGTCATTTTGGGCCAGTCCGGGCTGTAGAAAGATGAAAAATATTTTTCTTTCAAAAAACGGGCCGCTTGATGAATGTTTCCCGGGCCTGTTCATCTAGCCAGTCCGCCTCTGGTCGACAGTTTTAATATTGTTCCAATATGGGCATTTTACGAAAATATAAAAACAAAAATTTCCGTAGGAAATGGTTTATCCAAATCACTATAGAAAATTATCTTTAACATATTTTTTTTTACATTTCGTGCATTATTTGTATCTAAAAAATAGGGTCAAAATGAACTATGACGTTCAAGCAATCCGGTATAGTTCATAGGAAAAATTGTGTAGAGAATTGAATTTCCCATCGAAATGGCTTGTTTAAAAAATTAAAAAAAAATTTTTATGTAAAATATCGTTAATAAACAACTTTTAAAAAAGCAAAATATTTGATTTTTTTTTACTTTTTTGACTGAAATACTAGATGAGATTCCCTTCAAAATGATGCGTTTTCAAAAGTTTTTGGACTAATATTGACCGAGTTATAACCGGTCAAACTTAAATATTTTTATATTTTCGTCGTTTTTAACATAATAATGATTATAATTCTTATTATTTTTACAACGAATTGGTTCTTTACTTAATACTTTATTGGTTAATAATAAATAAAGATTTTCACAATTATTTTTTTTTCAAATTGTTTATTAACGATTTTTTGCGTAAAATTTTCCTTTTAAATTTTTTAAATAAGCCATTTCGTTGGGAAATTCAATTCTCTACAAAATTTTTCCTATGAACTATAGCGAAATTTTGCTTCGTTTTGGAGCTACAATTAAAAAACTGAAAGGGGTGCATTTTCATAGTTCCTTTTAAAATCCTATAATCAAAGTTCGAAGTCTGTATCTTCAAGGGTCTTAAATGACGATGGTCATGATCAAAGATTGTGTTCGTGATGTCTCTCTATATTTTGTTAATTTTTCTGAGAGGAATAACCACTCCTTAAAGGTTTTCAACATCGCTCCTTGTTTTTGTTAAACAAAATCTCTTGTACTATTTTTTGTATTGCTGCTATTTCTTCATACCTATTTAATACTTCACATCACTTCAAATATACAGGATGTTCAGTTACTAACTGGCAAGCCAGACGTCACCAATTTTCTATCATAGAAATTAAAAGTAGTTTCGATAAAGTTTTCTCGAAAAATGTCGAGATTCAGGGTATCCCAACAATATTCCATTCCAGAGAAAATTTGATTTCAATTTTCTACTGCAGTTATCAGTTATTGGAAGATAAGTATTTTGATGCAATCTATAGTTTAAATGAACACTATTATTTTGGTGCTAACTTTTAAATAGTAGTAAATTGATTTAAATCATGAAAAATCATCAATACAGGTGCAAATTTTACAAAAAGAAATGTTTGAGTAAATAAGACGCGCCAAAATATTCAACTGATAGGTGAAAAAAAAAATTGAAATCTATTTTGCCTGGAATCAATCATTTGCTGCTTTACACAGTGGTGTAACATTTTTTTTTTTTTTTTGTAAAAGGGGCCCAACTTCAACCGAATCTGTTATCTCGAAAGCGGAGCATTTTCTGATAAAAATTTTGTTTGAACTACCTCTTTAATTTTTTTTGTGGAATGTATTGCTAATGTTTGACCAACTTGTAACTGTATATGCTGGACATTAGGTAAATGCAAAGGAAAGGCATTTCCCCGTTCCCGTTTCGGTAACAGATTACATTTTAGTTCATTTAAGTCAGCTTCGGCGCAACCCGTCCGAACAACTTCCGCGCGATAGCGTCGCGGAAAATCAGATTTCTATGGCACCATCTGCATAGTGGGGGAGCACATTAAACAAACAACAGTAAACAGTAAAATATCATAGAGGAAGGAAATAGCAGATGTCGTGCTCGTGCATAGAGGCGAATAATTAATGCAGACGTCAGCTGTTGCTCCGCTGACACCATTAATGCAGCGTCTCGCTGGCTGCAGTCGGCTAGACTCAACGTTTTCTTCCGAAATCGTCGGCTGTAATGAGATAAATCCAGACAAGTGTCTCTTACAAAGCAAAACTCCCAGGCGCCGCACGTATTCCCCTTATTATTTAATAAACGGGGTCGATCAAGTCTCGTCTTGATCGAGTTTGGTTAATGAGACGCGAGGCCGACTGTATCAAGGCTTAATAGTTTTAGGTCGGTCATTTATTATGAGCGACACACTGAATATAAATGAGATATGAGTTATCGTACATAGAATTTCACTGTATCTGCTTCGGTGTATGCAACGAAACGCCACACCCCCAGATTCAGCGTCCAGTGTGATCGAACGTCAGCTCAGTTCAATGACCAGTGCATGTTGTACGCTCCAAATGAAATTTTTGTTGTTTGATAAAATTTTCACCAATCTTTCTAATGAAAATGTCTTGTGCAGATGCAACATTTGCCTTTTTGAACTGCAGTAAAATATTAAAGGGATTCCAGGGAACAGAGTAAGAAAAGTTTCTTACGTTTTGTCTTACTTGTCGCTTTAAGTTATCCCACGAACGCAGCTTGACAAATTGTACCTTAAACAACGTTTTACTGCTATTAACAGATTCCTCGCAAGAATTTCGTAATTATCACGCAATACCGAACCTACTAAATCCCCAAACGCGCTTCAGGTGTACATTTCCTTACGGCGTGGCCCCGAAATACGACCCAAGCCTCGCGTTCAAGACTTTGCTGCGCATGACGCACTGTAGCAGATTAAACCCATTCCTACGGAATTGCTCATAAAATGATCCGAATTAAAACATTAATCCGGGAGGGCGGGTGCTGTTCGTTTTGCTTTGCAAGATCAAATTACGAACTGCGTCAGTTGGAGAGGGGCGGCAATCGGCCGCCTCCTATCAAAGGAAACGTATAACAGTCTAATACATATTTTACGATACCTGATAAGTTCGAATATTTCTGGCTTCTCCCGTTCGCGCTGCTTCATGCGGTCCTTCATGGCGGTAATGATGCTGTTAGCTTTATCTTCGGCGCCGTGCTTTGAACTTTTTTCCGCCGCCCCTGGAACAGGAAGAAGAGAGGTTGTAAATGACAGGGCCGAGAGGGAGAGTCGTAACACATTTGTTATTAGAAATCCTTCTTTGATGTGTACACTGAGAAAACTATTATACACTACTGAAAAAAGTTAAAGGGACAGAAATTTTTTTTAGTGGTTTTCGAAAGGGTGTATTTCAATGAAAAATAGTCGTGTCGAGATAAACAAAAAACATTTTGAAGCTTAAGTCACTAGTTTCACGATCTTTAGACAAAAATTCTTTTGAGTTACGGTTATCGAGGAATAAAAAAAATACCTCGAAAAAAAAGGACTGAACATTTTTTGTTTTAACTCAATCAATACGGATGATCAGTGAGTTTATTTATTCAGCTTCAATTTGATTTGTAAAAATGTTTTAAAATTTTTTGATGATTAAAGACTAGTGTTATTTTTTAAACACCATCGATGCGATATCTCGGCAACCAATAGTCGCACGGGGACCTTTCACAAATCAAATTGAAGCTGAATAAATAAGCTAACAGACCTCCATATTGACTGAGTTTGAAAAAATTTTCCTGAGTCCATGGACAGTCCCAAAAAAAGAAAAAAAATTGGAAATTTCTTTTCTCGAAGTATTTCTTTCGATTGCTGGATAACCGTAGCTCAAAAAATGTTTTGTCTAAATATCTTGAATATAGAGACATAGATTCAATTCATTTAATTCGATATGATTTTTTTCAATGAGATCAGCCTTTCGAAAATTTATGAAAATTCTTAATTTTTTTCCAATAGTGTACAATATTAACTTAACCTGTAAGTTTAAGAATGATTAAATTTATATTAATTGTTTACCATCTGCGAACAAAAACTTTTTTAATTTTTACTTTTATAATGCCCATTACAAGACTGTTTAATATTAAACTTCATAAATGGTGAACCTTTTAAATACCAGACTGTGTTAAGACAACTTTTTGGGGAATTTACGGATGGTAAACATTTAAATTGTTTATTTTAATATTAATATGCCTTCATCAGTTACCAGCAAACTTATTAAACTAGTTAAAAAGGAAACGAACCCATTTAACTTTAACAGTCAGTTAGTTTGATGTGAAACAGACTTATTTACCTTGTGCGTTGTTTTCATGCGCAGACTAAAATAAAGTTTGCAACGGAAAGCGCAGGTCCAGTGCCTACAAACTACCGAAGCAAGCTCACACAAGCTTGTCCATATCTATTAAATGTAACTAAACGAACAGCAATTAAAGTTATACAGGGTGTTTCATAATATATACGCAGGACTTCAGGATGTGATAGCTCGTCCAAAAATTTGAAAAAAAGTTTGTATTAACTTACCCTCTAAAGGGCACAATTTTCGAGATACAGGGTGTTAAAATTGTAAAAAAAATTTTGTTTTTTGCGAATATCTCCGGAACCGTTTAGTGTACAGAAAACAGCTTTTTTAAGCATTTACTACTCATAATAAGCTATGTTCTGTGCGAGAAAAAATTTTTTTCAAAGTCATAATTGGTGAAGATTTTGAAGGGGAAGTGGGTGTTTTTCTCCCCAACTTCTACGCCACTGGAAAAAGTACGGTTTTGAGACCATTTGAACCGCCAATATTTTCTACACAAAAAAGTACTTTTGGTCATAAGCTCTAAAGTTGGCCGTTTTCGAGAAAAATCTACTTTTATGTTGAAAAACATGGTCAATTTTTTGAAATAAAATTTTTTTACTAATTAAACAAAATTTATTTAATCGTTAGAACAAGTACCCAAACGTTAACTTCATAGTTGCAAAATTAAAAAAAAACAAATCGTATACAGTTAAATTAAATGTTGGAAATGTCCTCCGTTAGCTTCAATGCACGCAGCAATTCTTCGACGCATTGACTGTCTAACACGCAAGAAAATTTCCGGAGTGTTCCGAATTATGTCGCAAGATGCAACAATGCGTTCTCTTAATTGATCAACATTTTCAACTGGAGTAGCGTAGACTAGGGTTTTGAGATGGCCCCAAAAGAAAAAATCTAAACAATTAAGTTCGGGAGATCGCGGGGGCCAAGGGTGGGGACCTCCTCGACCGATCCAACGGTCTTGGTATTCGTCGTCCAAGTATTGGCGAGCAACCAAACTAAAGTGGGCCGGAGCTCCATCATGCATAAAGTACATGTTTTGTCTTACTTGAAGCGGTACATCTTCCAGCAGTTCCGGCAGTACTTCTTCTAGAAATTGTCGATAATCTGCACCGTTTAATCTGTTCGGTAAAAAATGTGGGCCTATCAAATGATCACCGACGATGCCAGCCCAAACATTCACGGAAAATTGTTGCTGATGATTGCCTTCTGCAATTTCATGTGGATTTTCTTCAGCCCATATGTGGTTATTGTGAAAATTGAAAATACCATCTCTCGAGAAAGATGCTTCATCGGTAAACATAACTTCGGCTCCAAACTGAGGATTTTGAGCTATTTTGTCTTGCATCCATCTACAAAAAGCCAATCTTGGCGGAAAATCTCTTGGCAATAAGGCTTGTACTCTTTGGATATGGTAGGGATACAAAAGTTGTCTTTTCAAAATTCTCCAAACCGTCGAGTGAGGTATGTTTAAGTTGTGAGCAATTTTTCTGGTACTTGTGATCGGATTTTCTTCAATTTCGTTGAGGACAGCCTCTTCTACTTGGGCATTTGCAGCTTCCATAGGCCGCCCATTATCAGCAGTATTCTTTTTAAAACTTCCATTTTCCCATAGTCGTTGGTGAATGCGTTGAAACAAGTTATGATGTGGTACTTGGCGATCACGATGTCTTTCTTGATACAACCGCCTTGCTTCTGCCGAATTACCGCTCGCCATTCCGTAAAGGTAATGCATTTCGCACATTTCAGCGTTTGTGTAATTCATTTTTACTTTTGTAATACAAATTGACTTTTCGCAGGTACAAACTAATTGTTATTTTGACAGGAGGTAGCTTTCGTTTTAAAATTTAAAGCCTACTTGATAAAAAAAATTATAATACATTTAGTAAAATAAAAATTTTATTTCAAAAAATTGACCATGTTTTTCAACATAAAAGTAGATTTTTCTCGAAAACGGTCAACTTTAGAGCTTATGACCAAGAGTACTTTTTTTGTGTAGAAAACATTGGCGGTTCAAATGGGCGTCTCAAAACCGTACTTTTTCCAGTGGCGTAGAAGTTGGGGAGAAAAACACCCACTTCCCCTTCAAAATCTTCACCAATTATGACTTTGAAAAAAATTTTTTCTCGCACAGAACATAGCTTATTATGAGTAGTAAATGCTTACAAAAGCTGTTTTCTGTACGATAAACGGTTCCGGAGATATTCGCAAAAAACGAATTTTTTTTTACAATTTCAACACCCTGTATCTCGAAAATTGTGCATTTTAGAGGGTAAGTTAATACAAACTTTTTTTCAAATTTTTGGACGAGCTATCACATCCTGAAGTTCTGCGCATATATTATGAAACACCCTGTATAGTTATTATATTTTGTCGAGTGAAGTGTTTCTGTTATCGTTTCTATAGACCTTTTAGTAGTAACGCCAAAAAATAGTCAACTCCATAGTACACATTGTCATGAGGAATTTCTCAGTATTTTTACTAGATCGATTTTCGACTTATGTACTTTGGACATAAATGCCAAAAAATGACTTTTTTGTCATGATCTTAAATATATTCTGACATTATTAGAAATATTTAAGAAGTTTCAAACCACAAGTGGCAAACTAAAAGAATAAAAGCATTCTAACGCAGATTTTCTAAAAAATGGAGTTAGTTTGAAACTCAAATTTACTTTTTATTATAAAGAAATTTGTAATTTGCCGCTTTTAAAGAAGTAAATTACAAATTTCTTTATACCAAAAAGTTATTTGAGTTTCAAACTAACTCCATTTTATAGAACATCTGCGTTAGAATGGAGGAAAGTTTGTTATTTGTGCACTGATTCATATCTAGATAAACTGTGTAATAAAATCTATAAAAATGTCTTTGTTATATTACCCTCTTAATAGGATTTTTATGACATCGATCGTGCTCACGCCTTTAGAAATCATCGATGGCAATTGCGAGGCAAGTGGGGAACTGTACGGCACCGGATGAAAATATCAAATTTGCATACGTTAGGAGCGCGCTGCGCTTTTTGCAGATTGAAAATTTAAATAAGTCCCGCAGCCGTCAGATCTTTTAACTGCTTGTGTAAGCAATAATTTAAAATTCAAATATACTAAGCACTTAGCACATTAATGAAGGCGTTATGGCGAGCCCTGACTCTAAAATCCCGATTTTAGATTAAACCGTCTCGGTTTGGAAGTCACCGCTCGTCTAATCTCGTCGCGACGAGCAATAATAACAGAAAAAAAGGGGTGACGTACACAAGGGCATGAACACCCCTTTTTCCACCCAATACAATAAATAAATGGGTAAAAGAAACGTGCAATGAAATTCACCTTAAGGCCCTACTTTGGGAGCTTGTATCTCTTCAAAGACGCAAGTTGCTATTCTGCGAGTTGCTATACAAACTTCGACAGGATATTTGAAGAGGTAATAAATCGAACTAGAATATTTTTGTGATGCCTACTGACTTACCACAATAACAGAAAGAAACATTTTTGGGACCGCTGATGACTGTACATAAGGTTCATCAGCGGTTCCATATGTTACCACCATATCTATTAATTCATTGTTATTCTATTAATAGGCCATTTTAATATAAGAAAATACAATCAAAAGTAAAAGTTCAGAAAAATAAATGGCTTCGTTTAAATTTCTGTTCAAATAATTTTCCTAAAACTAAAGTAGAACTGATATGTGTAATCTAAAATTGAACTAGCAGAACTGTTTCTTACAAAAAAAAAGAGAGAATAATGCTGAAGACCAGCGATCACAACTACCCACTTCTTTTTATGAAGGGAACGCTTCCAGAGGTTCCCAATAAGTTTTAGTAATTTTGATTTCTAATAAACTTAGCACCGTTTTGCAATTTCAACGGTTGTTATAATTGAAATTGCTTATCATCAGTGCATTATACTTAGGTACAATTAAAAATTCCATTCAAAATTACTTATCCTTCTGAAATAGTAACACAATAATTGAAATAAAAAAATTAGCTGTAATTGTATCACTTTATGAAAAATAGAGCTTTCATCTTATCAAAGCGAGATATTTCCCACGTTTTATATTAAGCATAAAATTATTAAAACTTCTCCAAAAGCACTTGTCAACGCACGAATTATTAAACACTTGTACTCGTAAGTACTGGGTTTAATTTATGTGGGGTCTTCCTATGGAATGTCATTGATTAGCAAAATTAAAGGCATCTTTTATAAGGCCTTTAGGCTCGTATTCGATGTTTACCCTCGGCGTTTACAAAGAAAATATTTATATTAAATTTCAGATGGTACCTAGAAACCTTTGACAATCCAGCAGCTATAAAGTGGTGATAATTGATGTTTCAGATTTCATTACAACGCAAAATCGTAAATAATATAGCTATACCCTCTTATCGATAAAAAATGACTTATGCAGCTTTTCATTCTGAAGATATATGAAATTAAAAACTGAAGGAAATAATTGTAATTGCTTTATAAAGAAGATATAATCGAGCAATTAATTTTAAATTAACAGTTCTTTGTACGTATTGACATTTATATCTCGTAAAATGCACTATACGTCATCCAATACTGATTGGAAGTTTCAAGGACACATATGAGTCGCTGTTCCATGATCTACACCAACATCAGCTGCTTCCCATGTGGGGCAATGACTTCACAGACTTAGCATCGGCTATTAGGATACAAAAAATAGAAATAATAACCACAAACTAGTCGTCAATTGACTAACAAACAATTTTACATACAATATTTTCCGGTTCTAATATATCACTCGGTATATTGAAAACCAGTTTAATTCATTGGGATCTTGAGAGAGATTAAAAGCTGTGAAAAAACTGTCCGGTCTAGGAAGCAGTGGAGTACAAAGTGGTTATTTATGACGAACGTTGAAGGGATGTAATAACAATAACGTTATGTTAGTGATTGATTAGTTGGCCATGATATGCCATCAATGGTGTTGGTAACCTTATTTCCCACTTGAGGGAAGAATACAATGTACGCTGTTGAAAAATAAAAATGTTTTATGCTTTAGGTGTGTCATTTGGTAGTATATATTTTAGGTAAAAAAAAAATTAAATAGTATGTTCTTTTTGCAATGTGTAAGTTAATGCGAGTCTATTAAGTATTCGGCAAGGAATTTAAATAACCAGATTTATTTCCTGATCGTAGTAGATTCAAGGTAGATTTGTTTGCAAGGGAATAAAGACATATAGACAGTGTTTACATGCAGAGGGTTTCTTAATGGTAGGAGAATACATCAATAATAAGCAGTTTCAATGATCAAAATAGCTGCTAAACAGTTCTTAAAATTAATAATCAATGCTCGTGGTTGAGATTTTATAGATAACAAAAGCTTTGCAACTATAAAACAACAAATAATACTATGCGTGTCTTTTCCGTTTCAATAATGTTTACAGAATCGTAGGGAAGGCAACGGATGATATTCTCCAGGAGAGTAATGACTTGAATGTAAAGACAAACTGGTTTTGTATTGATTTCCGTTCGCTTCGTACCGTTTCCTTTCCTTCGTTCCGCCCCTTCGTACGAATTTCAAAGAACATAATTTACTAAGCAGATCCAACAACGACAGCGTCTGCTACTTCGAACCAGACCGATCCATATTACCTCTTTTTGTAGTTACCCTGAATTAGTCAACACTTTTGACAGTTTATAATTTATTGGAGCTGCGTTTCCAAAAGATTTTTTTCTTCTACCGTAGAACAATTGGTCCTAAATAGGGTAGACGACGAAAACCACCACAGTTATTTTCATTAAGATGAGATGCTCAATAGAGTAGACAAATATCTAGAAGTAAAGTGTGAAGCTTTCACAATGACAAAATTTCATACCAGTTATGTGGGAAAATTCGAGCCAAAGAGTAACGTCAATGTTAGTGTGACTGGCTATCACGAGTTCCGTCTGTATATAATAGGGATAGCTACGTAGGATAGGGTATGCTAGAAGGGATCAAAGGTACATACGATTCTAGGAACGTGAAATGACCATTTAATCTCAAAGTACAAATTAAAAAAATCTAAAAAGGAAGGATTGGATGAAAATTCGTCTTCTAAATCCAATATAGTTTGGTATACGAATGACTCAAAGAAAGACATAGGGTCGAAGGTGGATCATATGAGGTTAAAGAAAGGTTTTAAGGTCTCCTTAGTCTGAAGCTGTTTGCCCCAGTCTATCAGGTGGAAGTGATGGTTAGTGCAACTGAGTCCATAAGGAGAAACGAATCGTTATTTAGTTCCATGCATATATGCAAGTAGTATGGAGTTTGCTGAACCTAGGAAGTCAAAACTTCGGTATCAAGGAAATGCTTATGAGATAGCTGAATCATGCTCATATATAATCAGTCCTACAAGGTCCTGAACTGTGATATTGCTGGCATTATCAAGACACACGTAGAAGAAAGAGATGACAAGAAACTCTCATAGAAGTGGCCCAAGAAATACTTAAAAACCATTGCAGTAGTTGATGCACCTGGAAAACAAATTTTATGTCGCTAATATGTTTCAAAAAGCATTATGTGCATTTTTTGCATTAACAACAACTTCAGTGAATTTTTCTGAAAACTTAAAAGAGAAGTCTTCTTTTGCTTCACTTTTACGTTTGAAATTATATATTAGCTTACAAATATATATATATATATATTTTTGTAAGTAATATATAAATTTTAGAGAATTTACATTTCAAATTATTGACCAAACAATCACCCTTTACTTTAATATTTCTCCTGAATAACAAGGGTCTCTGAAACTACCAATACCAAGATTTTATTTAAATATACAGCGACTTAAGGTTTAAAAAGAGGGTTTTGGATACGGCTTATAAATTGCTACAATAAAATACAAATGTTTTACGTAGGGCAGGATTAAAGTACCGCAGCCTTTAGATCCTCCATATCAATCACATTAAAAATGAATGTTGGTAAACATACTGAGTGCTTAGCGACAAATTGAAAATATATCGATCGAAACCTGTCTGATGAATTAATAATATTTCCCGGTTTTTTCGTGTTGTGTGCATACGTACATTTCTAATTAGAAGACCTGTCAACAAGTACTGGAGGGCGCGTAGCGAGTATTAAAATTATTGGGTAAAACATATTAGAAAACTCCCTCGTCTGCACCTTGAAACATTTTTTTATCATTATATGTTCGTTTGTTTCTGAGCAATTACCAAACACAATTTTATTTTCTTTAACATCAACACCCTGTAACTTCTGTACTAACTTTTTTCAATAATGTATGTTTGCTGCGTATCACCCTACATATTTAGCTCCTCTGATCTGACAACCGGTGAACAACCTCAAATTATGAGGATATTTGGAGAGTAAGAAATTCATGTGCGAAAACACGAATGGTAGAAATATTTCTTGCAAATAGAATATTTTTTAACACCTACTGACATCACACCGATACGTTGAACACTTTTTTGGGACCGCTGACTCCACCGGTAGCTGCACTTTTGCATACGATTGTTGGTGCACACTTATTTGAAAATTCCTCGACATAAAGATGTGCAATCGTCATCTTACAGTAAAGTTTCGATACATTACCGTCACATCTATTAATTCATTCACGCACAAATCAAGGACGATTCCAGAAGTTCTCAATAAGTTTTAACAGTTTTGATTAATTTTAACATCCATCGCTTTGCTGTTTCAATGATGTTGAGCCTTGCATAGCTTGAACATGTTTATTATAGTTTAGGGAACAAGACTTACGGTAAAGTTCATAATACTCATGGCTTACTTAAGACAAAAGGAGATCATTGTTTGTATTTCTTCAGAAAGGAGGGACGTTTTAAAACACGATGTTAAACGACCTTAATAAACTTCACTGCCATCGCTCGGGTATAAGACAAATGTTCAGTTAAGTAGGTTGAAAACAACGGGAAGAATAATTTACTATTAGCGAATAGTAATTACAAGCGTTGTGAAGTTTCGCATACAATAAAGTACCCCGTTTAGTCAAACGCGTAAGACAGAAATAACATAAACAGGCAATACGTCTACATAATTTATCTCTTCTGGTCTACAAGATACATCTACAAGTATTTTGTGAGAGAAAAAACAAATGAGAACAGTTGTTGTAGAAAGGTTGGCAGCACTTTAGATTTAGGCTTCTAAGATCAAAATGAGACGATTTAGTTCAACATTTGAGACATGAAATAGTGAATTTGTGCATGGTACACGTTCTTGTTTATTTAAGTGCAACATATACTTGAATATGTGTAATGTTTCCCACCAAAAATGATGTTTCAATGTTTAACTTTAGCAGTTTCCTATAAAAGTTGTAGTAATCGGAAAAGTTAACTCTATAAAAGCTGTTTAGGTCATTAGAAACTAGCAGTTGGTGACCTTGGGTTTAACCTTGAAAGTCACTTTAATAAAAATCACTAGAATCGGCTTCAAGATGATATTACTTTAAAAAACAAGAGTTAAATTTAATATAACCTTGACAAAATCAAATCCAAGGTTACCAGATGGTAGTGCGCAATGACCCAAACAACTTTTGTAAAAGCATTTTCCCGATACCTTGCTTTCCTGACGATATACCAACTTGAGATGTTCGAGAGGTGGGTCTAACCTTCAAATGAACGTTAAATTTCTCCCTTTTTCAGAATCCGGGGTCAGAAATTGTATTGCCACCAAAAAAACAAGAGGTGACCTTCAAATAACCTTCCCTGAACATGAGCTAAATGGACGCCAGACTTGGGTTCAGCGACTCCAAAAACTTATGGGTATGGTAGTCTAGCCTATCGTACACATTGAACTTTGTTTTTGCCATAGGACTAAAATTAACTGTACATTCATGGGCGGAGCTATCTCAGACGCAAACTTATTTGTGTCGGTCTGAGGTATTACATAAATTATTGCACAAAATTGTGCCGTGAAGCCGGCGGGGCATAATAAATCTAAAACTACCCGCCTGTACGGCGAAATAAGCGTCAAAACGGGCCTAAATTAAATTTTAACCCTTAAAACTATCAAGAGGGGCGCCTTTTGTACTTACTCTGCAGGCAATCGGCGTTGAGGAGGTCCTTGCACTTCTCGTGGCACTTAACACCGCACTCTGTACACCTGACCCCCTGTCGGGCGATGCCCCATAGCAGGCCCTCGCACTCGTAGCAGTACGTGGGCGAGGTGGCGGTCCAGGGCACGAAGTTGTGGGGGGTAGTGCTGCTGATGGGGTAGATTAGGGCCTGCAGGGTCTTCTTGTACACGTGCATTTTCTGGACAGAGAGATACATCATTAGTTGCCGGGTTGTTGCTCGTTTCTCAATATTTTTTTAATTTTAAATTTGATGTTCTAGTAACCAACTTAGTGAAACTGTGTTTGCCAGGGTGGAGAAATGGTTACACAGTTCCTCCTTAAAGTACAGATATTTATGAGTATTTAAAAAAAAAAATTGCTACGATTGGATGAAAATTCTTTTGTAACAAGAATTTTGTCCAAAAAATCCCACTGTGCGCCGCGATAAGTTTCTCAAAGGTAGAAACATACCTGATGATGCGATCTATAAGGATCCAGATTGTGGAAGCGATGGCAACGATGCGTAAAACAATTTACGTGTTTCACAATGATACAACGACATAAATCTTATAATTATTGTTCAATTTATTTTGTTATGACAGCTCTACTGATGTCCTATATTATCTATTGTTGTGATCATTGATTGATAAGTTGATATAAAAATTGATCAGTTCTGTCAATTCTTGTACAGCTAATTAATATTTCAAACACTACGCAAATAATATGAAAAATAATTTCTTAAACCTGGACTCTGTAAAAATATGTGTTTGCTTTAGCATTTTATGCAGAACATCCCTTACAATTGGGAATATAGAAAAAAACGCGAGTCACAAAGTAGCATTAACACACGATATTCCAAAAAAAAAATGTATCTAATGTAACAGTTACACAGTAAAAATCTCTCACTAAAAGCAGTTATAATTTACCATTAAATTAACACTCCCCTATTCCTTTACATTCACACATAGCTCTAGGAAGGATTGTTACAAAACCACTAGATTAATTAACTGAAAGAATGATTCATTCAACGGAATTTAATATATTCCAGGAGTACCAGAATTTCGAATCATTGGGGTTCGCTTCGGTCACTGCTAAATTTAGCCGAAATACTTCACTGAGAGTTTTAAAATGTTTGAATTTGATTTTGTGGAGCACGCAAGCACGTCAAAAGGATATGGCATTACAAAAATTTGTAATACTAGTAAATATTTCCACTTCTATTATTTGAATAAATATTAAAAGAGCTCTTTTTTATACGAATTGCTCATGTCCACTACAAATCTCAAATTTACTACTGAACTGTGTAGGTATAAAGATTAATGCATTTTTTTTCACACTGTGGCCAGGCTATCATTAAATATTAACAGAATCATAAGTTACTAGAACATGAACCGAAAATTTATTTATTTTATACACCTAATTAAAATTTTATTATATGCCGGAAATTCCAGTAGTCTGTAGGCATTATATTCAGAATTCTGTTCATAAATGAGTTGTAAAAGTTTTGGCGGCGCAGTAGTTACTAAAAGTATAATATGCATAGGTACTATTGCTTTAAAATTCCCCAGTTGATCTCGTATTCCCTTGAAACTGACAAAATACTTGATTCCTTATTCAAACTGAAAAAAGACAAATATCTTCTAAAGTTTCTGTAGCATCTACATGATCTCATTAAGTATTGCTTCTATCAGTATAATAATATGTAAAAAAAAAGAATTCAGGCAGAGTTTCAGGAGCCATTGCATCAATAGTCGGTTAAGTGATTTTGATTATTTAAAAATCATATTATAATTAAATGTTCTTCAGAAAATACAAGATTTGTAAAGAAAATCATAAATAAATTTAATACGATGTTCTGTATAGCTACTTAAAAATATTTTTTCCAGTATTCCAAACACAATTTTATTTTTGACGGTTGTGTTAAATATTAGTTTTTCTATTTCATAAAAAGCAGCAAATTTTAGTTCAAGAAATAGAAACATATAAATATTTACGAGTATTCCTCTCCATTTATGTTTCTGAAATAGGAAATCTTGTTTTTAATTTTCAAGTGTCTCTTACAAGGGGATTATTATGTTTAATCAAATCTCGGGTATTTTCACAACCTCATTTGACTTCAAAACAGGTGGGTATTGAGAAATTAAACTTTTCTTTTTGTTCCTTCATCAAATATAGGCGAGCGGTTCACCCCTAAAAAGATGCTTCTAAATGAAGGTAACCGACTTAATTTTTAAAACCAAAAAAACCTACAGCATGAAACTTTTTCTATTTTATAGTGTATTTTTCTGATAATTTACATATTTTTTTTTATATTTTTCGGCGTGGTCAGTCAATTGTTATAAACAAAAAAAGTTGTAAAAAAATACTCGCCGAATGGTTTTCCTGGTAAAATGGACCAAAATAAACACATTTTGTACTTTGGCAAAAATTCGAAAAATGCTTCGTTTCCGAGATATTTATAATTTAATGTGAAAAAAGTAATGAAATCGACAAAATTTCGGAATTTTTTTCTCAAAAACCACTGAACAGAGTTTAATTATATAAAAAGTGTCTGCAGAATATCTTCTACTTTAAGATATATTTTTTGGTATAGGTCAATTACTTTATTAAAGGTCTAAAACGAGTAAAAAAAAAAACGTCTACAAATAGTGAAATTGTAACTCTTGATCCATTGACACATGGATGGAAAATCGGTTGTTAGGATTTTAATTATTTCGAAGGAGAAACTGCGTTAGATATGCTTCAAAAATATTTTTGTTCATGTAGTGGAAAATTGTAACTGTTTGTCACTGAACCTGGAATGCTGTACAATCTGTGCGTGCTCAGATGAATATCAGAATGTTGCATCCGAAATTGATGATGAAACGCTTATTTCAACTCCAGACTTGTCGAAAATAATGAAAAACTTATTATTTAAAAATTAAATAAACAATAAATTAATATACTTGTTTATTTTTGAAGGCCGCTAGGTCAATTATTATTATTAGGTTAATTTTACGATTTAANATATAAATATTTACGAGTATTCCTCTCCATTTATGTTTCTGAAATAGGAAATCTTGTTTTTAATTTTCAAATGTCTCTTACAAGGGGATTATCATGTTTAATCAAATCTCGGGTATTTTCACAACCTCATTTGACTTCAAAACAGGTGGGTATTGAGAAATTAAACTTTTCTTTTTGTTCCTTCGTCAAATATAGGCGAGCGGTTCACCCCCAAAAAGATGCTTCTAAATGAAGGTAACCGACTAAATTTTTAAAACAAAAACCTAAGGCATGAAACTTTTTTTATTTTATAAAGTGTATTTTTCTGATAATGTACATATATTTTTTTATATATTTCGGCGTGATCAGTCAATTATAAACAAAAAAGTAGTAAAAAAAATACTCGCCGAACTCGCTTGAAAACAGTAAAATGGACCAAAATAAACACTTTTTGTTCTTTGACAAAAATTCGAAAAATACTTCGTTTCCGAGATATTTACAACTCAATGTGAAAAAAGTAACGAAATCGACAAACTTTCGGACTACTGAACAGCATAATAATCGGCAGATATTCTACTTTAAGATATATATTTTTTTGGTATGGGTCAATCATTTTATTGAAGGTCTAAAGCGAGCGAACTATTTTCAAAGCCATTCGGCGAGTAATTTTCAAACAATTGACTGACCACGCCGAAAAATATTTAAAAAATATGTAAATTATCAGAAAAATACACTATAAAATAAAAAAAGTTTCATGCTGTAGGTTTTTGTTTTAAAAATTTAGTCGGTTCATGCCTTTTNCGAAAATAATGAAAAACTTATTATTTAAAAATTAAATAAACAATAAATTAATATACTTGTTTATTTTTGAAGGCCGCTAGGTCAATTATTATTATTAGGTTAATTTTACGATTTAAAAACTTATTTAGTTTAGTTTTGGTATAATTTTCAAGTCAATTTTAGCCATTTATAAAACCAAAAATCGAATATTTAAATTTTACTGATTACTTGCAAAAACCTTACTCCGACTACAAAACCAAACAAAATGATCTTTTGAACATTTTTACTGTTAACATACATCGATTTAAAAAATTCATAATATTGTTTACTGTGAATATAATCTAATACAAAAAAAAATTAATTTGAAGTGTTATCATAATTTTCTTTAAAGACTTTTTTTTACTCGCTTTAGACCTTCAATAAAATGATTGACCCGTACCAAAAAAAATATATCTTAAAGTAGAAAATCTGCCGATTATTATGCTGTTCAGTAGTCCGAAAGTTTGTCGATTTCGTTACTTTTTTCACATTAAGTTGTAAATATCTCGGAAACGAAGTATTTTTCGAATTTTTGTCAAAGAACAAAAAGTGTTTATTTTGGTACATTTTACAAAACTATTTTCAAAGCCATTCGGAGAGTAACTTTCAAATTGACTGACCACGCCGAAAAATATTTAAAAAATATGTAAATTATCAGAAAAATACACTATAAAATAAAAAAAGTTTCATGCTGTAGGTTTTTGTTTTAAAAATTTAGTCGGTTCATGCCTTTTATATAGGGGTGAACCGCTCGCCTAATACACATTGTTTGTTAGTTGGTTCGCTAGCTTAATTTTGATCCAATAAAAAGTTAAAATTCTTGCGGCGCGTATCTCTGTTATTAATTTCTTGCTGGCCAGGGCCACATCAAAGTTTTGAAAAAAGTTTCGATAACAAAAGTTGTTTGATTTAAACTTTTCCACATTTACACGAAATATGTGTACAAAAACAGGATAGCCTTTTCCATTTTAATTATTTGGGCGTTATTATTTTTGAAAAACAAACTTTATCTAGCTGGCACTTAATTTAATTCTATTTATTCATTTGTACAGTAAATGTCTTATTTTTATATTTACTTTTTGAAATGAGCTTTTATTATCCGATCCAGATGTTGAATAATGTAAAATTTGATAAAATCCATATCGAGCAATGTAACAACGGCGGTCCAGCAACCAGCAATACACAATTCAGTTGGTATCTGGAATTTGACGGTGACGGAGTGTTTTTTGCGTACCACTAGTTCTTCCCCTTCTATCAAAACATCCTGTACATTCACTTTACTGAACTGCTGTGTCTCTTAAAACTTTTACGCAAATTCTAATCGCAAAATTTGCGGACTGGATTTCCAGACATATTCCAAATGGAAATAAAAAATTTAAGCTTTACTCACCAATTCCTCATCGTTGAGGGTAGCTCTGGGAACGGCTGACGTCAATCCGGCGTTTCTTTTGGCAGCCATGGTCTGCGAAACCATAAACGTTAGGATTTATTTAACTTATTTATATCGGACTTTATCCCCTTTGATCCGGCTTTAAAAATTTACCGCCTTTCCCGGGTTATTTATTAAAATGGCCCATAATTAAAGCCTGACACACAAGTTTGGATGGAAAGGGAGGGCGGCGATAAATTTTTTCGGATTATTTTTGTGTTATTAAACGACTGTTTGAGTTATATACAGCAATGTATATAATTGTGGACAAAGGAGGAAAACCTATATAGAATTATGGAACTAATGAGGTAAACAAACGATAAGTACCTCTACTTATTACTTTTAGAAGAAAAAAAATATATAAATATTTGTCAATAATTTTTTTCTTAATATTTGTCAATGATTTTATTCTGACAGTGCTTAGTTTCAAATTCATGAAAATTGTTTGTTGGATGTAGATGAAAAATGGTCGCATCGGGAATTAAAAAAAGCATTTTGAAGCTTTAAGATTCTAGTTTTTAGAGCTCCTTTTCCTGTTTTTTAAAATTCGTGTAAAAGATGAAAAAAAAACAAATTTTCCGAAAAATTGCAGCAGCATGTTATTGGAAATTTATTTCAGTTTTCGAAACTGCCCTTCAATTCTCTGTATGACCATTTGTCGCCGAGATATCGATGATTGAAGACAAAAGGATCCTTTTCCACTAAAAGTCCGATATTTCGATGAAAAATGGTCGTATCCAATTAAAAAAAAGAAAATTGAAGCTCAATAAACAAGCTATCTGGAAAAAAAATTACAAAAATTTTTTTGTCGAACTATTTCTTAGAATTGCATGATAACCGTAGCCTAAAAACTTTCGACCGAAAGATCTAAAAACTAGAATCTTAGAGCTTCAAAATGCTTTTCGGAAATTCTTTTGACCTTTTAATATTTTGTATTAGTTTAGTATTAAATACATGAAACCGTTTGTAAAAAAATAAACTCTAATTGTTGCTGCCCGTTTCAAAAACTGATTTATCTCGAAAATCGTTTTTTGAACGAATACTTTTAATAAAAATTTTATAACTTTACATCTACTTCTCAAGAAATGCTTATGTTAACAGTGAGAATACGTTGTAGGTACCATCATTAATTTTCTGGAATACTGTTTACCCATTTATCCTCATTACATTTACATAAAATTTTATTGTACACAAAAACCGTTAATACTACATAATTGCTAAATTAAAACGAATTTCAATTATCGAACTTCAAACAACCCCTTAATAACACGCATTCGTTAGCATTATTTTGTGAAGCTTTATCGAAATAATTGGTGCACAAGTGAATGTAGATATGCGATTGATATAAAACATATTTCCACATGTGTAGGGATACTTACCATTAATAGAGAAATATAATGAAAAAAAGAATAATGTGAAATGTATTGTTTGAAACGTGCAGGCGTGCATATTTATATCGACATGCCTTGAAAAGTTAACGGATGGTCGATCTTTATTTCGTTTTTCATGTAGATATCGACTGAGTTTCAAGTAGTCGAAGTATATTTGCAACATTACTATTATACGGATGTTAATAAACAAATGTCTAGAAAATTGCAGGAATATACAGGGTGTCCCACTAAGGTCGGCAAGGTACGATATTAGAGAAAGTATAGAGCTACGAACTTGAAAACTATTTCCAGTGATTTCTTTTGGTCGATTTATTAATCAAATTTTTTTTAGAAAATAATAATTAAAATTAGTATTTCTCTAGTTGCATGATATAAGGCCTTAAAAAATATTTAAAAAATATACGGAGCAAAACCGATTTTTTGGTATTGTAATACATAAATTAGGTAGTCATAGGCGTATGATAAACATTTTATAGGGGGTCAAAGGAGTGGCAATAAAAAAAATAATATCCTGTACATCGTTTTACATTAGACTCAAATAATTAAATATCTGTGTCAAGTACGATATCTCTAGATCAAACTTTTTTAAAGTTATACGAAAAAACGTTTCACACTGAAAAGGAGGCGTTGACCTTTCTCCTAGATCGTCTTATATTTCGACCTCGGTAATCTATTGTGGCTCGCTAGGACACACATATAACTCTGTACGCAGATTTATTAATATTACAGATGTACGAGATTTCACAAAAATACCCCTTTAATCCGAAAATCAATGTTTACCACGCACCCTGGTAAAGGTCAGTTTGTTCGACAAACCCCACCGCCCAATCTTGCCCGAATCCCATGTTCATCCAATTTGTTCCGGAGATATACACACTTATATACAAAATATCCTGCATAATAATAATGTTGCAAAAAAGAACAACCCCCTAGGTACTAGCGACATTACACTGGAGCTGTTTGGAGGGTTGCGTTGATGCAATTCATTTTGCCTCAGAAAGAGTAAAATGTGTTAATCGATGTTTCGAAACACGTAATCATGCACGTCTACTTATATTTAAAAATAAACGGCGTTACACCCATCTGTTTTATTCGACGTCTGCGGTGTGCAATTTACAAGCCACCACTCTTACTTTAATGGAAAATTTCGCGGTAATGTAAGCGAAATCCTTGCATTGCCAGGCGAAATTGCAATATCGAAATGGTTCGTTTAAAAATTAAATATCTGTCTTTTAACTAAGTAGTATATTTTAAAGAAGGTGCCTATAACAAATTAAAATTACCCGAATCACACCAAATTGCTGCACTGCACTGTTAGGCCATTTGTTGACAACTGAATTTATGGTCAGATCGCCCAGTGCGCCTGAGTTTGTGCAGCGTTTGCCCTCATTGTTCAACCGAACGACCAGACCTGTATATGGGTATGGCTAAATAAATATGGGAAGAAGTTTTTCAAATATTTCAATGCCGAGTTACTGCGTCAGCGACCAAACCTGGTACATACTGTCAATCTTTTGGTTCTTCCGAGATCAGAGAGACTATAACACCAATGTTAAATTTTATTATGTACTTCCAAAGGCATTTACACACAAGAGATGTAACTAAAATTTGCACACATAATTTCAACGTTGTGTAAAATTAAGTTTAACGACTCGTACTTTCAAGTATATTTACTTTATGCGGTGCATTTTTATATTTTACGTTGCACCACTACATTTTATTATTTCTGATGTAAATATACACACTGAACGAATTTACAGTTAACTGGTTTTAGAGTATACGTTTTCATGGAAATTTACATAACAAAGGTGGAAAATGTGCAAAGGTACATGTTTAACTTTGCAAAAGACAAAATTTTAAATTCAAAATAATCTGGTGTACAATTTACATAAAACTTTTATGAATGCAGTCGAGTAGAAACTATTTCATTTAGGTAAAATTACATTAAAGTTTTACTATTCCACACTCTGCTGTATCATACTATACATAATGAAAAAAAAAGCGGGGTAAATTCACATTATGTTTAATTAATAATACGAGGTTTGATCAAAAAGTAAGTAATTTTCTTTGAAAATATTTATTTAATCTTCAATTATTATTCCATTTGTATAAAAATTCTTTTTCGATTTTTTTTAAATATCTTGAGCATCTATGAACCGATTGTTTTTAAATTTTGCTTGCCTATATTTTCAAAGGTGGCAATTACGAAATTGATAACTACTTTGCCAACAGTTCTAGGGGGCGCTACTAGTAGTGTTCTGCCAAATTAAAAATGGCGCTCTCGCACATTATTCTCGACTACTAAGAGAATATATTGATAGAAGTTTTCCAAACCGTTGGATTGGTCGCGGCAGCGAATTTTCTTGACCTGCGCGTAGCCCTGATTTAAATCCACTGGATTTTTATTTCCGGGGTAATCTTAAATATTTGGTTTATAAAGATGTTATACATACTCTAGAACAGATGGGGGCAAAAAAGAAGAATCTGTTAACACTATCAGACACCAACAAAGAACTTTATTCAAAGTCAGACAGAATTTTAACGAGAGAATATAAAAAAAGTGTATTGAAGTTAATGGTCACTTTGAGATTTTTTTTTAATTTGCAAATTAGACGTACCTAAGCATAATAAAATTTTCAGTTGTTATTGTGTTTGTCTTAATTCGTAATTAAGGCTACTTTTTTGAAGGCCTACCCTGAAGCAAACTATTTTCCGACATAACACTACAAGCAACGTCTCCTAGAACTGATTGCAAAATAGTTATCATTTTCGTAATTACTACCTCAGAAAACATAGGCATACAAACTTTCAAGTTAATCGGTTCAAAGAGCTAGACATTTCAAAAATCGAAAAAAAATCAACTTTAACACCCTGTAGATCGAAAAGGAGCAACATTCGGATAAGTCATATTTGGCTTAATCGTTCTATTTTGAAGACATTTTCTAACTGCCAGAAAAAATAATATTTACTATTTTTCTCAAACCTCAATGTAGCATTAGTTAAATTTTCAGATATTAGCAGTGAGCTATTTATAAGTTGCCACATGTAAAATTTACAGTTAATTATCATAATGTAATTAATATATCGACCCAAGCAATTACACTTATTTAAGCGGGTTTTATGATAAATCGATATGTTCTGATGAAGTCATTAATCATTAACGAAATGGCAGTAGTGGGTAAGATATTCATATATCTTGTTTTATTCAATAATCAATTAATTAGGAAATTTTACAGAAATTATTATTACGTTCATGTAAAACCAAAATAAAAACCATAACGCCAATGAAGTGTCTATATCTAACCTCTTCCCCAAACTCAAATTGCCACTTCACGAAACACGATCCGAGTCGACAGAAGCCATAAAACAAAAATTACTGAAGCAGTTGAAGTCGATACTGGAATATGCGTTTAAAAAATGCTTTGCTGACTGGGTTGTTGTTTGAAAAAAGTGTCTAGCTTCAAATGCAATTCTGAAGGAGATAAAATAAATTTTGATGATTAATTCAATATATTGTTGGGAACTGTTTCTAATGAACTAGGGACAAAGCTGTATCTACAACCGAAAAAACAAAATTCTGTACGAATTGAGAACAATATTTTTATTGAATAGGTAGTCAAAGGTAACATCAACTGTAGGCCT